TTCATGTTTCATAACTAGTCATGATATAGGATAGACTAAGTTTAGAACCGAATAAATATTAAAATATTGATAAATATCATGCTTAATCTAGTTGAACTGTATTTTGATTAAAGGAAATTTCATTAAGCGAAAGAGGATTAGTATAAAATAAACAAAGCAACACATATATACAGTGATAATATTTAAAGAACCACTATCGTCATAACATATGTTATTTTGGTAAGAAAACTATATCAATGATGATGATTCCCTTTTGGATTATATTTATGAAATAGAAAAAACGTAAGATTAAACAGCAGAACGAAGTTGAGTTATATTTGAGTACTCTACAGGCAAATAGAAAACAAGATGTTCTTAAATGATGGGAAGAACACGATTATCATGTTATTAGTGCAACTAGTGTTCTAGTTGAACGGGTGTTTGCTGAAGAAGCGTACTTAATTGATGTTAAAAAAAGTAGCCTCAGAACTGATATTATTCGTGTCTAAATTTGTGGTGAAAATAGTGTGTCATTTAAGGCCACAATCGGTTATTATAAAGCATTAGTAATGCATTAGTAATAAATTTATGTAAATTATAAAATGCTAAAGAATGGTATAAATTAATTGTGACTAAAAACTATTAAAGTATTTGTTTTTATTAGCGTTAGTATTAGATATGATAAAATTTGATGATTTTATTAACTAATAAAACCCAGGTTTTGCTCTGGTCAAGTATGGGCTAATCCGATCAACTACTCAGGTCGACTGTTTCGGAGCATACTATATAGCACGATATGTTAAAAAACAAAAAGTCAAAGTAAGTTATAACTTAGTTGAGTCACTGCTTGTCCCAATTAGGGATGTTATCCTGCTCCAACCAGTTAGTTTGTGCTTAAAAACCCGTTTGAACACTGTTTGGAGCATTTACATAAAAACCAATTTTCAAACTTAGCGTTAGTTCATATCAATGTACTAATAATTATGCTCGGAGCATTTATATAAAAACCGATTTTCGAATTTAGTTCACTAGTAATTATACTTGTGTAAGCAATTTAATAAAGCATGCTATCGCTATTACTTTTTATTAAAGCAACTACATGAAATTTACATCTAAAAATACTGTATATAAAATTTTGCATTATAATGTTATTGCATTTATTGCACCTATCGCTGTTATTTATTTATCCAATTTATTAACCTTAATTATAGTCAATAATACCTGCTTCATACCAGGTATTTAAGCAGAGATATTTTCTTCAGACAATCTGTTATGTATTTGGTTGATTGTATTTTTTGCTTTTGAAAATATTTTTTCACTTGCTATGCTTGTCACTTGTATGATCAATTAGTCTCTTGCCATTCTCGGGAGTCCGGAATAACATATATTGGTAGAACATGTTTTCTAGAAGTTCAAGTGATTACAATTTCTTCAATGGCCATAAGGTATTCTTTAAGAATGTTGGAAGTAGTGTTCAACCTTTCATTACGATGTTTTCTAAAGTAACTTTAAGTTAATTCCAGAAAAGGTCCTTTTTTAATCGCTTTGGAGGATGGTTCGTTATTTCCATAAACATTCCAGATTCAATTACATTTTGAGACGTCGAGCTTGAAGAGGTAGGTTCAGTTGAATCAATAAATTCTTCAAATGTATTGTCTTTGTCCATCGAACAATGAAATTAAGTAAAAAAAAAAATTAAACCAATAAATTGTCAGCATATCATGCCACATTAAATTAACTTCTAATTAAAAGTCAAAAAAACTGATTTTTGTTCGTCATAACAATAGTAATTTAAAAGTCTAAAGTTTATTACTAATCAAGCATTGCTCATCTGATTTATTTCAAACTCGTTTGAAGCATAATATGATAATAAAAATCATGTAATCGGCAAAGCTCGAGTTCTATTGGGTTCGGTTCCAACCAGGGTAGAGCTGAGTTCGGGCAAGTAGGATAACTAGTCCTGATGTTTTAAGTTTCTCATTAATTTTAAAACTTGAATTACTTTCTGTTATCTACTAAACTTCTATAGCAACAAAAACCTATGCTATTTGAGGAGTTGTGAGTAAACTAGTTATCAGAACTTATCCCATTCCTGGTTTTAGCGCAACTGCATTGCGCAGCTACCTTATTAATATATACCATTTATATTGATATGCATTGTGAAGTTTGTGCAAACTAGTATCGTATATGATAAATATTTTTCATGAAAATCTAAATTTACTGTGGATAATATCAACATTCGGTACGTTTTTCTCTCAAACTAGTATAATAATTAAATAGTTTAATTTTTTTAAAAGATAGAGCAAATTGTATACTTTAATATAATAGAGCCATTTTTTTTGATTTATACTATTTTATAAGTAGTAATTCTTTAACAGTGTAAATAAACTTTATCTGAGTTTGACAAACATAAAGCTAATAAAAATTGTAAAACCGAGTCTATTGTTGAAAAGAGCATAATAAAAGCTATCGATTAAAAAAAAAATTATATATATAAAAACTATATTTTTTGTTCAAAAGTGTACCTTTAATAAAAATTTACAGTATATTGCTGTATAGTTAATTTTCCAAAATTTCTGAAATTATTAAAATAACTGATAAAAATCCTCAATAATATAGTTATTGGATGCGAAACAGCCAATAAGTGTACATTATTGGACAGACGACAAAAAATAACAGGAAATTTTTTGTCAGAGTTAATGTTACTTCATATGCTGCTACGCAGCACATGAGTAAAATTAAATCTGATGAAAAAAATTTTTTCCTGTTATTTGTCATATGTATGTTCTCAATTTACAAATATAAACCCTACTAAAACCCACATATACTCTTTCATTATAAACTCTAACCCTAAATTCTAATCTAACTCTAAAAAAAAGCTAAAAAAAATGTCCTAAAAAATTTTTAAAATTTTATACTAAAATAATTCATCATCTGATTCTCATAGGAATGGATCAGTCCTAGAAAGACTGAATAAAATCGGTCTTTTTAACTAGTTTTATAGTTATTCGGTCCATAGTCTTGAGACCAGTTCTGGACCAGTCCAAAAATAGAAGCAGGTATTTTTTTTTATTATGCTGTACCTGATAAACTGGTACTTAATACTGGCCATATATATATATTTTTTTTTTATTGTACTGTACATATCTGGTAAGCTTTAATACCGGTTATATATATTTTTATCTAAGAAATTAAGAATATAAAAATTTTTTACACGTAAAATGAATACTACAGTTTCAAATTGGTGGATAGATCATAAGCTTTTATATAGCCTGCAAAATAAAATTTCTAAAAAGTTTGGCCCACATTTGCTATATATTTAACAGATTCAGTTCATATTTTAATTGTAAAATCTTTTAATTTGAATGATATGTGCAGGCCTCCAAATATTTTCTTAATCCTAAAACTAAATTAATTACTTGATTTTTTCATCATCAGTTCTAAATGTGGATATTTTTATTCATGGATCAAGAAATGCCAAGATTTGAGAAGATTCATCAAGTATTGACCAGTATCCTTCTACTTTTTGGTATATTGCATCAGCTATTTGAGTTTTTGAAAAAGTGTAATCATTTCTATATCGAGCTAAGTGTTCTCGAATACTAAAAACAACAAACCAAACATCACTATGTATAGAGTGGCTTAATGTGAATAGAAAATAAGTAGCATGTCCTATCGGCTCAAGAAAAATAAGTATATTCTTTTTTTTTTAAAAAAAATTAATAATTAAAAAAAAAAAAAAATAAAAAATAAAATAAATCAAGTTATGAAAATCATATTCATGTTAAGGCTAATAAAATCTTCTGGATTCAAATACTTTTCTTTAACTGTTAGATTATTGGCTGCAAGTAAATTTAATGCAGGTTTTAATTTTTTCCATTTTCTGAGTTTATAGTAGATAGAGTTCTACCAGGTTTTTACATTAAGTTCAGATGCAAGATAAGTAATACCTTTCATATTACAAAGCCTTTTTAGAATATTGTTTGTTAGTTTCGATAACTTAATATATAACATTAATGTTCTTACTTATGCAATAGATTTGTCAACATATGCAAACTCTGACTAACTACAAGATTTAAAACATGAGCCACGCATCTATAATGTGAGAACAAGATGATTAAATTCTTATTCAAGTTCTTCCGTTATTAGCTTACTACAAACAATTATCAATAATGTATTGTCAGTAGTGAGGGCTAAAGTTTTTTTTATTAAATCGAATTCACAAAGAACATTCATAATAGCATCGGCTATATTGGACCCTTATATAGTATTACAAATTAAAAATTAATAAAATTAATTAGATTAATTAATTGATTAATTAATTAATTGATTAATTGATTAATTAATTAATCGATTAATTGATTAATTAATTAATTGATTAATCAATTAATCAATTAGCAGCTAGTTAGAAAATTTTAAATTTGTAATACTACCTGTATAGTGTACTTCTATTAGAATGATATCCAGAAGGAAACTATTTAGTTTTCATGAAGAATTAATATAATAGATTGTTAAACTTAAGAATGTGGTACTGTTTGATGCAGTCTACATATCTAACATGAACAATATTTTTCCAAGAATTTGAGAAAGCACTAACTTTAGTTGTTTTTTTTAATTTCAAATAGAGTTGTAATACGGTCCTTTTCTGCATGACAATTATAGAACTAATAATGTGAATAAAATTTTTTGATTATATCTTACCATTCTTTGCATTCAAGAATGGTAAAGGGTTGCAAATCACATAATATCTATTTTGTTACTATATCATCATGCTGTTGCCACTCTTTTTCTGAATAAAAAATATAGTTGCCATATTTAGATTTGTTACTTTGTTGTTTTGGTACTATAATATTATGTAATTCTAGATATCATTTTAATATTAAAACACTAGTTCTTCTTCTGAATTTTATTTTACATGTCTTACATGTTGCTATTTTAGATTTACTTTTTATAAAAAAATTCCACACTTGTGAAAGTGATTTTTCTTTTTTTTTAGATTGTAAGTTAACATATTCATCTGTTCAGGAGCTTATTGATGAGTCACTATCTTGATTTTCTTGAGATTCAAAATTTTTACCTTGGTTAATTATGGGATTTAAAAACTCAACATTTATATTTTCTTGGAGAGAAGTAAGAAGCTCATTAATAATACATATGGTAAAATGAGTAGCTTCTTAAAAAAAGAATAAGTTGGATATTTTATATTGTTTGAATTTTATTGCAAAAACTGAATCATTTAGTGATCAAATTATATTTATTATACAGATGATAGAAAAATAGATAAATATAATGATTTTATTTTTATATTTATGATTAAACGATATCATTATTATATTTTAAAAAATAACTCAGTTTTAATATATGAGACACATCTTATTTTCAATGCTTATTTAATATACTTTGTTATAACAGACAGAGTAATTATTTAGAATACAGTATTT